AAAGATTTAGTAGCAGACACTGAAATGAGATCTCACTAAGATTTCATTATTTTTACTAAGCACACTATAGAACATTTGCTCTTAGTCTGTGAAGTATTATCACAGAATGATCAAAATAAATTAATATAAATTTTTTAAAAACCCAAAACCCTGGAAAGGGAGAAGTGCTAGAGACTCCACGAAGTCCTCTAAGGATTTTGCTATTGATTTGACATGGAAAGTCCTTGGATACTGTGGTACTGGGCAGGAGTATAAAACTCTAAAATAGATAAAAACTGAATGACAGTTTACAAAATAAAAGAACAAAGTCCATTCTGTGATGCACCGTCATTGCCTTTCTACAAAATTCAGCAATCTGCAACAGGTCTAACAGTCTTTAGTGAGAATTCATGTTCTGCTGTGTACCAAAAGGAAAATATTAATTTACTGGTTTTCCTAATGTTCTCAGCTACCATGTTGTGCCATCTTCTTTCATAGATAGCCTAGGTAATTCATTACACCTAGTCATCCCTTCAACTTTTTAATAAAGGATCCACCCCTCCCCTACTCCTCTTAATATATTTTTAAACTCTGTGGTGAGCCAAGGTTGTTTCATGAACACCATGGTAAATCTGCTACAACTACTCCACAGGACCAACCAGAAGAGAATCTAACCTTTCACCTTGGCAGGTAGTACTTAAAGTTCATATAGCAATATGTTTTCCAACCACATCTGACTGCCAGTTTTAGAATTAGAATATCTTTTTTCAATAGCTGCTGATAAGCAGTTCTTAAACCTTCAGATCTCTTGAGACTCAGTGATAACTAGACCTGGCTTATATTAGAAATCCTGCACCAGTGAAACAACATAGATTTAAAAATCTATCTTGTTATACTGGTGCAACCCCTAACAGATGAATTTAAGTCCATTTAAATCACCCTTAAACTGATATAGCTTAATGGGGTAATTTACGTTAGTAAACTAACCCAAGTGTCACAGCTGACCTCAGCTAATGTGACAGCTCATGAAGAAAAACTGGTCTCATGTAGCCCTGGCCCAAACCATTAAGGGCTTTATAGTTGGAAATAAAAAATCTTGAGTTGCACATGGAAACAAATAGGAGAACCTTGTAACTGTCAGGGAACAAGTTTAATATGCTGTCTAGGGCTAATACCATGAAGAGGCGAGCAGACATCAACCAGCTGAAGCTTCTGAGTGATCTAAGGCTATATCTACACTTACGGCAGTGTGTAGAATATTGGTGTAACCCACACACCTCCTGCGTGTGGTGTTCTGTCCCATCTAGTCCACTTGGTCCCCACCAAGACCACTTAAAGAGAGAGATAAAATGAGTCTGCTCTACAGCCTTAGCTAAGAGCCAGTTGGCATTTAGCTCCCGAGGTCCCAGGTTCAATCCCGCCCACGGGCAACCAGGGTCTGTGGGGGTTACATTGGCACTATGCATGCAGCTACACACTGCAATGAAAGCCAGGCCAGGCCTCATCCACATTTGTCACTGCAGGATAGCTACATGCAGCACTGAAAAGCTCTGGCAGCGGGGAAATGCTCTGGCAGTGAGGAAGCCACACTAAAAATAGCAGTGTAGATGTGGGAGGTGTTGCTTGGGCATGTAGAGAGCAGTTTGGGTATATATCGTGGGGGTTCAGGCAGCTGGAAACTCTATTCTATTCTACCCGTCTAACCTGTGCCTCACCATCTACATGGCTATTTACTCCCATGTTAGCTGGGCAGACGGTGATTGTATGCTATACAACACTGCAAGTGTAGGTGTACCCAAAAGTATCCTGCCTGTGATACTGCCTCAAGTATGCTCTGAGTGCTGGATCTGATGTCTAGCCTTACAACTACAAGTCATGAGTAGGATTTTCTGAAAAAGCTACTCATGAGGTCCTGATCCTTTACTTTCCACATGCTGCAAGTCCCTGTCCAGCTAATGCAGAACATCCACCTTCACTTTTCCCACATTATCAACTACTTCCAAGATGTATGTTTTGTCAGCGGCCACTTTGCTTTTGAAACCCGATAGCCAAATTATTACATGCAACTATATATCGGCATAGGTCATATTTGGAGCATTTGAATTGAGCATAGTGTTAGCTAGTGTGACCATTATGCTGACCTTTCTACTGGTGGCACAGCGGTAGCCCCTCTGAGTGCTGTGTTAAACCTGCTGGGCAACGTCTTATAGAATGTTGGCTGTTCAAATGATTTACTTAGCAAGATCATGTGCTGCATGCATAGGCCTTTTATACAGTGTATCATTTGTACTCTGAGATCCATTTACATTGAAGGTCATTTTTATTTGAAGAGCAATAAGAATTTGGTGACTGATTTTTATTTTATATACAGACACACACATAGCATAACTTTGCTGCAAGCGACACAGAGTTTAGGTTTAGGGGAGCTCATACTGTAACACAGATAAGAATGGAGAAAACACATTTCTTGTCCATAAAAGGATAGCTCATATATTCTCAGAGGGCAACTCTGATTTTGCTGCAGTTCCCAAGTACAAAGTAGGAAATTCAGTATTGCGAAATGAATTATAGATGAGTTTCATTATAACTGTTCTGAGACTGCTTTTGAAGTTCTTGCTGTTTTCCCCAGTTTAACCCTGTTTCAGCGTTGACCAATGACATTTATTTGTACAGCAGTAAGTGTAATTCAGATTAAAATAACCACTTCACTTACAGCTCAGCTCAGTGAGACACGGACACTATATAACTTGTATTTAGCTTAGGCACTCTGGTTACATTCACCAGACCTGAAGAGGAGCTCTGTCAAGTTGGCCCAATAAAATATATGACCTCACCTATCTTGCCATGAACAATATGTGGTATGCATTGGGAGGTGCATGCATGATTCTTGAAAAAAGTGCTCTCTAAGTGTAACTATAGCTATTAAAAATAGAGTTATCTTATACTTATAAATACTGGTTGCAAACACTGCAATGTTCTGGGTAATGACTATAAAATACTGTCATTCTTCTTGATTGTTTTGAATTATTTTTATAAGCACTGAATATTATTAGAATATCAGCTTTCAGTACAATTGGAGTTGCAATCGTCTTGGGCTAAAATGTTCAAAGTTGGATGCCTAAAGTTACACACCAAGGCCAAGATTTAAAGCAATGGGAACCTAGCATTTAAGACAGCTTTAGACTGCTCAGCACTTTTGAAATTTTAAACATGTAGCAGAGTGTTCAGTGAAACACACACAGAAAGTCAACCCAGAACAAATCCCTAACAAAAAGCATGACCCTGCACACGCAATTCTCCCCCTGCAAAGGGCGATGAGAGGAAAACAAACAGATATGACAGATATGAGTCACATAGATTCATAGATTCTAGGACTGGAAGGGACCTTGAGAGATCATCGAGTCCAGTCCCCTGCCCGCATGGCAGGACCAAATACTGTCTAGACCATCCCTGATAGACATTTATCTAACCTACTCTTAAATATCTCCAGAGATGGAGATTCCACAACCTCCCTAGGCAATTTATTCCAGTGTTTAACCACCCTGACAGTTAGGAACTTTTTCCTAATGTCCAACCTAGACCTCCCTTGCTGCAGTTTAAGCCCATTGCTTCTTGTTCTATCCTTAGAGGCTAAGGTGAACAAGTTTTCTCCCTCCTCCTTATGACACCCTTTTAGATACCTGAAAACTGCTATCATGTCCCCTCTCAGTCTTCTCTTTTCCAAACTAAACAAACCCAATTCTTTCAGCCGTCCTTCATAGGTCATGTTCTCAAGACCTTTAATCATTCTTGTTGCTCTTCTCTGGACCCTTTCCAATTTCTCCACACAGGTACTACTGGAGGACACAAACTGTCCTGGACACTCTGATACTTTGGTGATAACAGGGGTATAAGACCCCCATAGAATTAAACAGTTGCTGAAACATGGGTAGAGGAGCTAAACTTTAGGGTCCTCATTTTTAAACGCTTGTTCCTTAATCTGTATGCAGGCCTCCTAACAAACATCACAATTTTCAGAGCAGGTGAGCCCCTCACTACTCCTATTGAAGTCAATTTTAGCCCACTTTGTGCAGAATGTAAAATAAACTACAGAGAACACATAGTTCAAATGCCCTCTGGATCCATGTATATTTCATACTAGCCTTGTACAGGACAAATGATTGCTTTCCAAAAATAAAGTACAGTGCAACACTTTGGTGTGCACTGCTATTCACATGCCCCATAGTCTGAACTGCGGGGCAGTGTAGACCAGTGATTCTCAATCTTTTTTCATTTGCAGACCCCTAAAAAATTTCAAATATAGGTGTGAACCCCTTTGGAAATTTTGAATGGAGATGTGGACCCCTTAGGAAATCTATTGCCTGTGTATATATAGTTGAATTCCATTCAGTCAGTTTTCAGTCTGTCTTTTGCTGACCCCTTAGATGGGGTCCATGGATGACAAGTTGAGAACCATTGGTGTAGACAAGTCTTAAGTTCCTTTCTCTACAAAGTCATGTCACCTCCACCTGGAAAGCATGGCACAAACTGTAACTCTCCTGTTTGGAAGCGGCAGGTGTGAACTGAGAGGTTCCTACTTCACATTAATGAAGTCTTGTTTGAAGAAGACTACATTAGTGCAAACTATGAACCTTTTAGTTCACACCAGCCGTGTCCACATTGGAGGGTTATAGCATGGCAGGCACTTTGGTGTGCACTGCCCTCACGGTCCCAACTATGGGGCAGTGTAGACATGCCATATTGTCATACTAACCTTGCTCTCCCTATAAAAATCCAAAAAGTAAAATCATCCTGCCTGAAAAGTGGATAAAATGTAGATGGAACTAATAATAAAGGGTCACCCATATTATTTCATAAAATGTAATTAAATATTTGGAATAGCTTGTAACAAACACATGGTCTAGCCTGGTCTACACAGTCTAACATCTGTAAGACATGCTAAAAAAAAAATCAGGACTATCCTACTGCATCCAGTAATTCTTATTTCACTGGCTCTAAGTTAACTCTGTGTTTCTTTTCAGATCTTACAGGTGAACAAGGTGATGTCCATCTTGTTTTATGTGATATTTCTTGCTTATCTTCGTGGCATCCAATCTACCAACATGGATCAAAGGAGTTTGCCAGAAGATTCAATAAATTCTCTCATTATTAAACTCATTCAGGCAGACATTTTGAAAAACAAGCTCTCCAAGCAGATGGTGGATATTAAGGAAAACTATCAAAACACAATGCAGAAAACAGAGGCTCAGCAGGACGTGGATGGAGTTGAAAATGTGAAATCAGACTTCCAGCCAGTTATCTCAATGGATGCAGAACTATTAAGGCAACAAAAACGCTACAATTCTCCCCGGGTCCTCTTGAGTGACAATACCCCATTGGAACCTCCACCTTTGTATCTTATGGAAGATTATATTGGAAATTCTGTAGTGGTGAACAGAACCTCCAGGAGGAAAAGGTATGCAGAACATAAGAGCCATCGAGGGGAATATTCTGTATGTGACAGTGAAAGTTTATGGGTCACGGACAAATCATCCGCTATTGACATTAGAGGACACCAGGTAACTGTGCTAGGAGAAATTAAAACAGGCAACTCTCCCGTCAAACAATATTTTTACGAAACAAGGTGTAAAGCAGCCAAACCGGTAAAAAATGGCTGCCGTGGCATTGATGATAAACACTGGAACTCCCAGTGCAAAACATCCCAAACGTATGTAAGAGCACTGACTTCGGAAAACAATAAACTCGTAGGCTGGCGATGGATAAGAATAGACACATCCTGCGTGTGCGCGTTGTCGAGAAAAATAGGAAGAACATAAGTCTGCATTTCTTTGCTATATAAATTATTACTTTAAATTATATGATATGCATGTAGCATATAAATGTTTATATGGTTTTATATATTATAAGTTGACCTTATTTATTAAACTTCAGCAAACCTACAGTATATAAGCTTTCTCTCTCAATAAATAGGAGTAAAAAGGCATGTGCCTCAGCTGTGGGCAGCTGCAGTTTTATTAGAATATGTTTGTGACTCTGCTTATCAGCAGCATACCATAATCTTACTGTAAAATCTGTGTAACATCAGTATTTTTCATTCAGTATTGTCAAGCCAGTGACTGTCATTTAGTAAACTTGTTAAAAATCAGATAAATGTCAAGAGTTGTGTACCCATTTCTATCCCCTGCTATATATTTTCACAAGACAAAGTGGGTGAGGCAATATATTTTATTGGAGCAACTTCTGCTGTGAAAAAAGACAAGCTTTCGAGCTACACAGAGTTCTTCTTCAGGCCCAGACCTGAAGAAGAACTTTGTGTACGTCAAAAGCTTCTCCCTCTCACCAAGAGAAGTTGCTCCAATAAAAGGTATTACCTCACCCACCTTGTCTCTCCAATATCCTGGGACCAACACAGCTACAACAACACTGCAAACCACATATATTTTCATATTTAATTAAAAGTGTTAATTCCTCACCACTGAAAGGAAAACAACATGGCCTACAGCTAACATTAACATTCCAGCCATTGACTAGCTGTAAAATACGTTTTCTGTATGTCATGCCAGTTTTGCCACTAGAATTACTGTTGTTTTTCCTCTGTTAGCGTTCCAGAACTGCTGCTAATAACCCAGCAATTCTACTTTAGGTTTTTGAAGCACATTTGTTTTGTAACTGGTTTTTAATGCTGCCAATTCCTTTTAGAAGTAATAGGAAAAAATCTAAAATATTTGTAACAGAACCATACCAATGCCAAGAAGCAATCTAAGTGGATCATTAATATAATATATAAAAGATGATTTCTTTAGAGTGTACTATTTATTGTGATCAGGTTCCTCCTCTCCAGTAATCTATTAACTCTGCTGCATCATTAGATGGTTTCTTTCTGCCTGGGGTTTTTAAATTACAAACAAAACCATTGGTGTCTTAATATTAAAAGAAGCCTGGATTTAGAGTTCTAGCAAAGAAGAATACAGTCTTGGAGTAGATGTCAAATCTGCACTTTCATTCAAACTGCAGTGCTGGTCAGCATCAATTGCTGATTTTTCATGGAGAAAAACATCTGTAGAAATGCTCAACAAACCTGGTATTTTATGGGGATCATTGAAGAATTACTGTTTTCTGTGTGGCATGTGATTAAGAATCAGGTTCTCAAGTAGGCAACAGTGAAAGTGAAACTGCAGTGTCATACAGATGAGTTAACACTTATAAAAAAAATAAATGTACTGCTACATACCTCATATAGACATTTCTAAATTCTGTGCACAAAACATGTTCAATTCTTTGCATTTTTATGTAGAAGCAACATATATATGCACTGAGCAAAAACTTTAGCCATTCTAAAATGGAGCAGCTCTATGGAAGGCAGTGTAAACCACATTATACCATGGACCAGACCTTGCTTCCATTAAAGCATATGGAAGTTTAGTCACTGACATCAGTGGTCCGAGCAAGTTTAAGCTCCCTATATTATCTATATCTGGTTGGATCTTAAGAATAACACAACCAGGGAGTCCTAAACTGCCCTCAATTTAATAGTCATCACAATTGCAATGCACCAATTCAAATTGTTAAATGAGCACTTTCTCCTTTGCATTTAACATTCATAAATTAAAAAAAGAACTACAGCACCAAAACAGTAGGTGGCCTGATGGCTTTGTACCTATATCTTTTCACCACTGAAGAACCAGGTTCAAATCCTCAATAAGTCACAAGAGGAAATGAATTGGGTGGTCTCTTTAATCCCCTATGGACAGTGTAACACATCATAAAAACACTGCAGAGCTGGTCCAGATTGCTCATGAGGCCAAGGATTGGGACAGCTGTAAGCCAGGATTGGAACACACAGGCAGGACTGTGTGAGGATCATTGTATACAGAGCCTGACAGCATTAGGTATGTCTCCCACTAGACCCCTGATCTTATAAGGTGCAAAAATCTCTCAGGTCCCCAGTCAGATTGCTCAGTACCTCACAGGAGACATCCAGCACTTTGCAGGATTAAACCCTAAATTCACCTTCAGTGAGGGCGATCAAAGAGCGCTATAGAACGTTTAGTGCACAGTAGCAGGGTCCATATCAATGGTTAGTGCGCGACAAGCTACTGCGAGGGAGATAGCACGCAGCAAGCTGGGGTATACAACTGTTCATCTAGACAAGCCCTCAATATCTAATAGAGGTGGTTACAATCCCTCCCCCCCCCCCCCTTTGGAGCATTTCAATGAAAAAAAATAAACATTCATTTTTACTGAAATTTTCAGTGTAAAATTTTGACTTCTCATTGAAAAAACCCAAACCAATTGTTTTTCAGTTTTCTGCCAAAAAAAATTCTGTTTCCCACTGAAAAAGGGGGAAATGTTGAGGAAAGTAGATGCTTTCAGTGAAAATATGCATTTAATCAAATCCCAAATTTTCCATTTAATAAAAAGAAAAGTTTTGATGGAAAATTTTCAGCCAGCTCTGGTATCTAGGTTATTCAGAGACAAGCAGGCAGCCTTACATTCAGGGGTCTTGGCATTCAGTGTCCAGTGTGTGTCTATATCTATGCGCTAAATGAAGTGGTGAAACTAACTGAGCTTGTTAGACACTGCTACTTACTTGAAAAGACTCATCGTCATTTCCATTTGCTTTAGTGAGTCTGTTGCCACTGAAGGGGTAGATTCTGCTTTCAGTTACACTAGTGTAAATCCACAGTAATTCCACTGAAATCAATGGAGACACAGTAATTCTACTGAAGTCAGATTTACACCAATGTAATTAACATCAGAATCTGGCCCAAAGCTCTTTGGAAATCAGGAGACTTAACCCTGGAAAAAATCATTTACTGTTTTCTAATGTAAAGCATGTAATTAGAACTGGCACCAGGACTCTAACTTTATCAATGTATGGAGTGTTTTGCAAGTGGAAGAAGAAAGTTGCAGAGAAAATGTGGTATAGTGCTGATCATCTGAAATGTATTACATGACAAAGAAACATGGTGCATAAGGTTATTAGATTGACTGCCTCATTCCCACCTTAGTATAACAATGAAAAGAAGTGTTACCCTTAAGCTCTGATCCAACTCCTACTAAAGTCAATGGAACAATTGCCACTGATTTCAAAGGAAACTGGATCGGGCCGTGAGTGAAGAAAAGCTACAGATTTCAATAGTGCTGCAGTGTAATTGTATGCGTCAGTTACATGTTTTTATAAATCCTGTGTGTAAGATTTCCTGTGTATATTTCACAGCACATAAGCATACAAAGCCTGTGCTAAATGCGTAGGGTCTGATCCTGTGCAGTCACTGTAGTCAGGGAGAGTTCTGTTTGCTATTGACTTCAGTGGTGGCTCAAGGAGGTCCAAAGTTCTCTAGCCAACTTCTTTGTATCAATTGTTTAAATGAAATAAGTAGCCCAATAGTACATGGTAAATTTGGGTCTTTTTAAACTCACTCCCATTAGGCAGCTGAGATAACTGTCAATATTGTTTCCCCAAAATTTGACATTATAAATACATGATTTTGTTGCAAAAATGATTGGCCGATACGCTGGGTTTGCCTATCTATCTGTGTCAAACTGTGTTTTCTCTAATTTTTTCTTGTTCTTTTACAGTCCATTTGGTAATTGTAAAAAATGCTCCACTGAGGTTTTGAGAAACCATCTGCATTTATTTTATCACCTTTGAACATGTGTTCAGGAATGAAGTCTGTGTAGCCAGTTTACTGCTACCTAGAGATTTGCGCTGCTACACCAGGAAGAAACATCGACTGGGCTGTACAGTGTGTGTGCTCAAAACCACTCTTAATATTCTGTTATTTCAATGCGTTAGCAATCCGAGTTTCTCACTCAAATATATGTTGTGTATCTGCAGACAATACATAACAGGAAACAAGTTTGATTTGGAGTTCCAAAATTAAGCATTTAATGATAATGACCTTGCTTTTTTGACCTTTCAGCAAATACATTTTTACAACAAACTGAAATGTATAACCATCCATTTTGGTTAATAGAAACATTGTGGCAAAAATCAATGGGATTCTGTGTTCCCCACACTCAAGACGCCTATGTAATTCATCATGCATGTGGTGGGGGGAGAACAGGCCCTGCAGCTTGTGAGAAGTGAAGAGAAGTGTGCTGGGTCAGAGCCGGTTGTAAGTATGGAAGGGTTGTTTTCCAAAATGCTTTGCCTGTATTTTGTTACAGCAGATGGCAGAATGATGAAGCAAGCACAGATGTGATGTAAAAAAAAGTCAACCAGTGCCACGGCTAACAAAACCTTTCTTAGGAGAGTCTGCAATTTGCTACTGCTGTAGGCATGAGGAGTTGTTTTAACCAGGTTGTTACCTAGTTCTGCAATGACATTCCCTATTAAATTATTTCAATAAATTTTCCTTTTTTGCCACAGAGGTTCTCTGGATATTGTCAAATTAGCAGGTTAAAAATATTATTTTTTGTAATCTTTAGCTGCTTTGGTATCACTGATGAGCTGTATGTTTAGTAAGGTAATGCTTTACATGAAGGTTCCCAAATTACCACGAGGGCCAGATCCTGCAATAGGCACAGCCATTTTGAGCCACATCACTGCCAGATTCTGGCCACCACAAGAGCATCCTCCAGTAGCGTCAAGCTAGCACACAAGCTCCTACGCTCCCACCTATCTGCTGCTGTCATAATAGAGGTCATGGCTGGATGAAAGGCTCAGAGTGGGACACCCCAGGCTGAACAGAACACTGGCTGCCATTTTGGCCCTGGGGAACCTATTATAGCAGTCTGAATAAGTCAGAGCATGCTCAGGCTGTTCTTACTTACACCTAGGAATTGGCTCTGTGCACAGTGGCCTCAGGATCAAAAGAGGGCAAAAATGATCCCTACACCATCATTAGTTCCACACCGAACCACACCGACACCCTTGTCTTGCACAGTGTGTTCCTCAGTTGTAGACAGCAGGGCAGCCCAGAGGGGGGGGCAAGTGGGGCAATTTGCCCCAGGCCCGGGGCCCCGCGAGCCCTGGCT